TTTTTATTTACGGTTTTGCCGGTTCATTGGCATCGATGATGCCGTCGTATGCAGGGAACAGATAGAAATGTGGTTCTCTGTCGACTTTATTCCTCCGCCTAGGTAAGGTTTAAAGAGCGATTCCTGCACGGTACCGAAAAGCTTGGGAGGTATGGATTCTTTCTGGTGTCTTCCTCAATTGAGGTTGATTCGGCACGGTTTCTCGAACAACTTGACAATTGATCTCGGTATGCAGTCGCTCGGTAAGGTCAACGCAGGCAGGGTTCATGTCCCTTTGGTGCAATGCGTTCAGTATAGCGCTTAGCTCGTTGGAATCGAATCAATCGAATGCCTTTCTGAAGTCGATGAATACGTAGCAGAGGGAATCTGCACTATTCCTTGCGCTTCTCTGCTATCTGATTCGCCAAAGCGGCATGGTCTATGGTGGCGAACTCTGTTGGCAAAGCAGCTCATTATGTTCAAGCGATGAGTTTCAAGTCGTCTTGGATACGGTTGAGGATGATTCATTACAACGGCCTTGTAGACCTCTGAGGACAGAGTGATGAACCGATAGTTCTGGAGGTCTTCAGCATCGCCCTCACTGAAAAGAAGAATCGTGAGGAGCTCGGCCACGCCTCTGGCATCTTCTTCAGCTTCATGCATTCTGTAAATCTTTCTGCAAGGGCTTTGAACAAAGTCATTCCCCCAGACTTGAAATGAAAGGAGAAATCCTCATGTCACCAAATTCAATGAAAGCACAATATTACTAGCATCTCCTAGACATTAAAGAAAGCATGAAAAACTCTGAAGAGTGCAGCAGTGCGCTGTGAAAAATGGACGCTAGGAATTTCCATTACGGAGAAGCTGCGAAATGAGAAAAACTAGAAAAAGTGCGGGAATGCAGGATAATTTCAAAAGAAAGGAAGCTACCATCCGGAGGTCACATCGCACGACTGACGGATAACTGATGAGATATCTCAGATTTGTATGCAAGAGGCTGCAAACACCATATTGTAAGACCTCGCTCAGACGGTACGATGAGCTAAAAGAGAGGTGCAGAAGCTTATGGCGGATCAATAAAATCACACGAAGCAGACGAGCATAGATATTCAGACTAAGCCGTGGTGGTACACATTACTTATGAAAAACAGTCAGGCAAAAATGTTATAACTTTTGTAATATGCTCCTTATGAAACTCCTTCAGGTTTTATGTCAAAATTGGCAAGAATAGGGGGAGTGTATGGGCGTAGGCATCATAGCGATAAGTTTTAAACAGAAAATGATTGTTGACTTTCGAGCAATTCTCGTACGTGATTAAGAGAATACAGTAGTACCTCGAGTCACGAACTTAATTCGTTCTTTGACTCCGTTCGCGAGTCGAAACAGTTTTTTCCATTGAAATTAATGTAATTTCAATTAATCCGTTCGCGCGCCCCAGAAACTTGGTTTGTTGACTTTTTCTTATGGGTTTATGTGTGACAAAAATATATCATATAAAACATACAGCACCATAACTTTACCGCCTTTACGATTGATAGTTACAGGAGGTAGAGAAGGAGAAGGAAGACTACTCCTTCGAAGGAGAGTCCCATTCCATAATAACATTGGGCAACTGCGTAGGCATTTCTGGTGTTTTTTCTCGTGTTTTTATCATGGGAAGTGGTTCGATTGCTGGCTCGGTGGCTGGTGTTTTCACAAAATAACGATCCAGAGACATT